TATATATATATAATATGTATAGCGCCCCTTCGTCCGCAACTTTTTTTTTCTTCGTTAATAGTGATCCTTTTCTCCCGATCGCGTATAGATATATCGGTATACAGAGCTATATAGTATAAAATTCTAACAGAATCGAGTTACGTAAAAATTGTTCCAACCGTTTCGGAGAGATATGCATTTCGATCTGCATCGATCTGCTCCTATCGGAGCTTTCTCTTTTTTTTCTCATTTTCGTTTCACAGTAAAATTTCGAGCGACACGCGAAGAATTTTTCCTCCTCGTTTCATATGTCAACCTTCTGTCGACCGTCAGTAAATTCCATTCATTCTTGATTCGACGAATCGATCGCGCTAGCGTGCATTTCTTACGTACGTTTATACGCACTGAATTATAAAATAAAATGTGTCGGGCAAAGATTCGACCGATTGCAAACTCTCTTGTTTAAAATATAGTATGTCTGTCTGATTCCTCACTTAATTCACACACGGAAGTTAAAATATTTATTTTGTTTCTTTCCTTCTTTTCTCACATCGTCGTTCATTCCGCTACGCACAATCAAATAAATTACGATAATCGTCGTTAAGAGATAAAAGAGATCATTCATTCGAATACGAGTTCTCGAAAAATCAATTTTTACATACAATTTCATACGATCTTAAACGTCCTTCTAAATCGGGACTCCGATTAAAATGACAGCCGCCACGTTGAAGCAGTTCCGCGATATTTAAAAACCGAAACGTACAAGCGTTTTAGAAAGAGAGAGCACGTATCGTTGCAAAGATTGATTGTTCGCCGACGATAATCGGCGCCCTCCTTTAGGCAGTCGCGCGATTCAGTACTTTCAGTCGTTTGTCTTCATAAAGAATCATCTAAAACGCTATGGCGAATATTCGTGCGTGGCTGTTGTTAAAAATGTTGGAAATAAAAAAAAAAAAACGCGTTCTCGAAAAGATCGGAGATGTACATACGATAAGAAGTGGTACAGTCGTTTGTGTCTCGTTTTCAGCCTTCTCAGATATGGGGTTCTAACTAACTCGATTTTCATCCCCCTCCCTGTACAACTGATTCAGATTATCATCGTCAACGTATGCTCTTAAATTACAGTTAAATGGTACTATTATAGTGTGTAAAATATCGCTGCGCGTGCATATATTCGCGCCAGCAGTAGCAGTCGATGCAGTAGATAAAAGTATAGCGGAGCTCGGAATCGTTGGTCGACCTTCACTTCTGCCATCCTCGTTTTCGTTCGTTTCCCTTTTCGTGACGAGTGACGACAAGACGACGCACGGTGTGGACGAGAAAACGAAGAAGGTAGAAAACCGATCGAAGATCGCCCGCCGAACTCCGACGCGTCCGACTCATTTCTCATTCTATCATTATGAAAATCAATCGTTTTGGTCAGTGTGAAAAAATAAAAATAATGATTCTTATACTCTGCAAACTACTCGTGGACCACGTCAAGATTGATGATATTGTTTCTTTGTATTTGGTTGCAAGTCCTTTTTTCTCTGGTCTCGTTCCCTCTGGTTTACGAACGCGTTTACTCCCTTATCCTCGACGGTTCCCATCGACAGACTCGATGCAAACAGGCGGGAGGAGAGCGCAGAGCAGCGTCGTAGCGGAACCTATCCATCTTTTTTCTTTTTTTTTTAGTATTTTCTCGTTGAATCTTACCTCAAAGCTGAACATCTTAAAATCTTCTCGTTCCTGTTTCTCGACTCTCATCACTGTATCTGTCTTCTCACGATTACTCGCACATCGGCATACTATATCGATACTTTACGGAGATCATTATACATAATTAATGAAGCGTCAACGTCGCGTGGCGCGACGAACCTAGCAGAGCTCTGGATAGTGAGGAGTAATAGAGCGCTTATCTGCAGAACTGTTGATCTTCACGGAATATCGGTCTTACAGTTTCGTTTTATAGATATATTTCTTATATGTATATACGCGTTATTGAGAAATTAGCTAGCGCCGCTAATTCAGCTCGATTCTTTCTCTTTCGAATCTGTAAGCAGACAAAGGAGGCTCGGTCAATCGGGCAGGAGAGGATACGCGCGACGGGACTCATTCGATCGTATCGAACGAACGAATCACGTTCGACGTACACCGCGCGCGCGCGTGCAATTATTATTATTCGTAGCGACGACGAGCGCTGGAATTCAGCTTGCTAGTTTTTATTTACCACTATCGGATTTGTCCTCGGACGTCCCGTTTGTCAGTTCGGGCTCCTTCTTCTTCTCGCCGTCCTCGGACTCTACGCTAGACGCCTTCTTATCTTGGCTCTCCTGGTTGGCCGCCTTCTTGTCCTTCGCCTTGCCTTTGGCAGGAGTCGCCGGCTTCGGTTTCGGCTCCAGGCTCGGATCCAGCACGATCTTACCGATGTTCTTGCGATCGTGCATCTTCTGCATGGCCTCCGGCACGTCCTCCAGGGCCCACGTCGAGTCTACCACGGGCTTTATCTTGCCCTCGTTCCACAGAGCGAACACGCGCTCCACCGCTCGCCGCACGTACGCGTGGCTACCGTGCTGGTACATCAAGTGACGAAGGTTCAAGCCGGACAGGGTCTTGTTCTCGTCGAACAGTTTGATGGGCGAGACCTTGTCCACTTGCCACCACTGCAAAACAATCATGTACGTGACGTCCAAGTTTGTATCGATCGCTAAATCTATCGATCGTCGTATGAAAGGTCGTGTCAATTATGGCCAATGAAATTGTCGACTTACCGATCGCGCGGCGGAGAAGAAGCTCTTAGTTTCTCCGGTGACGACGTTACTGGATCCATAAAGGATATATTTCCCCATGGGCTTGAGCAACGCGTAACCCTTGTTGCATTCTTCGCCGCAGAGGCAATCTAGGACGATGTCCACGCCCTCCGGGGAGATCCTGCAGGGAGGCAAACGTGTTAAATGACTGTATACGAACGGACGAAGAGGACGACTTATGGTGGTACGCACTTTCTGACTTCGTTACAATAGTCCGTGCCCCGTTCCAACAGCTGATCGATGGTGCCGGCAGCTTTCAGAGCCTCGTGCTTCGATTTACTGCAAACGCCGAAGATGGTCACATCTTTTACGGTCTTGGCCAGCTGAACCACTGCTTGTCCCTGAAATTGCCAGAATTAATTCCAAACCACTGGACGGATGAAAATGCCCAATTTGGAATGTACGCTGATTCCGACAGAGTTTACGCGCAGAGATCCGTTCGATCAAAGGAAATTCCACAGAAAATTTAATACGCCGTCCAGAGGGCATTCTTCACGGACGTCTCTCAAAGTCGAAGGGGTCGACACTTGAGATTATTTTTAGTTACCCGGCTCTCGCCCGTTCGCCAAAGTCGTAATCCCATTACTCGAACGGGCAGAAAAACTGTCTTTTCATCGTACGACCGTGAAAAGAACAGACGCGCGTAAAAAAAAGAAGGATGGAACCGGAGGAGCTGGACGGAGATTTTCTCGACAGAAGCTGCATTCATTATTTCCGAGAATCGAGAGTGGTCTCTGTCTCCCTCTCTCTCTCTCTCTCTCTCTCTCTCTCTCTCTCTCTCTCCCTCTGTCCGTTGTCGACGAGAATTCGATACCCAATAACGTTGACCAATCCCGAAGCCTCGAGTGGCCAACGAGAGGAACAGGGACGAGGAGAGACACGAACGTAGTAGCGGGAGAGTAGGTATGTTATGTATACTATAGGAAGAATTTAAGAAAAGGAAAAACTGAAGAGAGGGGCCAGCAAAAAGGAGCGGACGAAAATGTTAAGGAACCGCTCTAAATTGTATATCACAATGCTGTTAGCCGTGTTCCCACGTTCTCAGGGATATTATTCGTCGCACGTTAGCTTTAATTTTGTTTCGAACGATCGATGTCGCGGGTACGATCACCTTTCGTCGAGTAGAAGTTTTCGCAAAGGACGCGCATCGCGTTCGGAGGATCGAGTCAGCGGTAGGGCAGGAATGGGAGGAGCGCATGTATTTTCAGAAATGTTTCTTCCGCCGGCTGTCTCAAATTTTTGACACGAAATAATTGCTCTCGACGCGAACGTATCAATGCGCATTTAGCGAGATGACATGGTCTCTCGTACTTTAACTCGAAAAACGAGGGCGAGTCGCGTTCAGAAGGTTCACAAAACGAGAACTAGATCAGTGATTTCGTTTCCGCTAAATATAAAACTTTGGAGACTAGTATATTATAGTGTCCTTTATATACAACCGGCAAAGGCAAAGAACGTATTTCACGGCGTTAAGTCAGAGGGAAACCGACCGACGGGAACGTACACAGCCTGGGCATAGGTATGCGGGAAGGGAAATATGAGTTCGCAGGGGATGCTAGCGTCGATGCCTCGGAGAGAGAGAGAGAGAGAGAGAGAGAGAGAGAGAGAGAGAGAGAGAGAGAGAAAGTCAGGGACGTGATCAGGAAATGCAATTTTTCAAGTCAAGTGCTTTTTCCAGCTTTCCCCGGCTACGTGACTCACCTAAGCCCGTCTGCAGACAATCGAGGCAGCGGTACGTTTACGTGCGCGTCAGCTATATTGAAACAAGCCTGAATTATTATCTTTCTCTTTGTTAGAATGTGCTACTGTGAAACGACACGGAATAAAACTGATCCGCATCGTCTTCGTTTTTTTTGCGAACCAAAATTCAGTTCTAATCGTTTACGTTAAAAAGATAAAAACAAATTTGGGGAGATCATTCGATTGATATAGGTATTCCGTGCGAGTCCGTAAAACCGATGTAGGGAAAGATGAAGAAACGGATTGACGGTGGTGTCGGGCGCAAACGGGGCTTAAGGGCAGCGCGGAACACGTGCTGACGATGGTAGCACGACGGTGGTGGTGTGGTCTCAGACGGGCGCGGCCCGTCACGGTGGTCGATGAGAGAACGAAGGGTTGCCTGGCAACCCTCACACCCCCGACGCTCCGTGCAGCATCCCCCGTTAGATTTCGCCGTCTCAACTTCCAACGATGCTGCACGAGCACGAGAGAATGGTATGGAACCAGAGAGAGAGAGAGAGAGAGAGAGAGAGAGAGAGAGAGGGTGGAGCCTCGGGGGCGATGTAGTCAGCTCCGAGTGTAACCTGTTGAGCCGTATTGATCCCGACGTGCAGCCGCTTCCTCTCACCTTCTTCGATGGCGACATCGAGAGAGAAAGCGTTCGCGGACGCGATTCCAGCCGACTTCGGGCAGTAACCTTGCACGTCGGAATCGGAATCTGTCTCGCTTCCCACCGCTGTAGCGTTTTGCTCGTAATTACCAAGCGACCACGTCGGCCCCTTCCCTTCGGTTTCCAAAAATGCGATATTCTCTGCTCTCATCTATTTTTTTCACAGAATCTTTTGAACGGGCGACGGAGAAAACTCCGTCTCTCGTCTCTGTATTTTGTAAAGAATCGAAAATAGACGAATGAAGGAACTTACCACGCCACCGCCGACGCTGTGAAGCAGCAGACTCTTGCCGGGCGTTAAATTGGCTAATTCGAAGAGGAGTATGTAAGCGACGGTGTAGTTCATGGTGATGGCCGCTGCATCGAGATAGCTCATCCCGGCTGGTAGCGCGAAGACGGACGTGGCCGGCACGGCGACGAGCTCTGCCCACGCTTTGTGATCAGGAAGCGCGACCACTCGATCGCCCACCTGGAAACGAGTAGCCAAATGTTTCCTGTTCGTTAACGTTGCGCCGCGCTCACCTTTAATCTTTTACGAGTCGCGACCTTAAGGATGTATTGGCTATACAATCAATCCCAAAAGTTTATGCACTTTAGAAACGCATTTTTTAAAAAGAAATCAGACGTCGGAAGGACATTGCTAATAATAAACAACAAAAAAAAATTTTCAATTTTTCCGAGATTTTTCCAAGGGGTACACCCCTTCAATTTCTTCCAAATTTTCGTTTTTGGTCAATAACTCCCAAACCGTTCAACATACGGAAAAATTGCATCAGATCTTTCTTATAGAGGACGACGAGATCTACAATTTCCATGTAAAAATTTTTCGCTAGCGACAATAGTTAACGAGTAATTTGCAAAAAACTGTTTTTTCGTTTTTCATCAATAACTCGTTAAATATTGAGGCTAGCGAAAAATTTTTATACAGAAATTGTAGATCTCGTCGTCCTCTACAAGAAAGGTCCTATGCAATTTTTCCGTATCTCCAAGGGTTTCGGAGTTATTGAGGAAAAACGAAAAAATTTTCCAAAAGTCCGCCGTTTCGACGCTGGGATGGTCGGATTTTGTCAACATCAATAAAATGCCATATAATCATATGTAACTCATTAAATATCGACGTTGGAAGGAAAACAACTTTTATTTGAAGCATTTTTCGCAATTTTGAAAAAAAAAATTTGTCGTCAGCGTCAATACTTAATTGGACATTTCCTTCTATACTGTTTAACCCGTAGCTATTTATTATTAGCATTATTCTTCCGACGTCTGATTTCTTTTTAATTATAGGAAATGCGTTTTTCTAAGATACATAAACTTTCGGGATTGACTGTATAGCCAATACATCCTTAACTTAGCACAGTCGCAGAGCGAAGCGCAGCCA